CCTTGCTGCAGCGGCCCAGGGTTCGAATCCGACCTGCGGCCCTTTGCTGCGTGTCATCCCCTCTCTCTGCCCCCCTTTCCTGTCTGTCTCCAGCTGTCCTATCAAATAAAGGCATAAAAGCCGAAAAAAATATACCTAAAAAAAAAATAAAGAAGCAGCTAAAGTCTCTTTAGTTAAATGCTCCACTGTGTTCACCAGCTAATCGTTAACTTCATCTGTCATTGTTTGTTTTGGGCAGGTAGCTAACTGCTGCAGCCAGAAACAAGGTTGATGAAAGTAGTGAACCTGAACCATAACAGTAACAAAAAAGCAAAACAATTAGCTAAAAGACACTAAAATGCTCTGTAGAGATGAGAGGAACTGCAGAGTCAGGTGAGTTTGTCTCTACAAGTGATGTGCATAGTAATTTGACCCATTGTTACCATAAAAATATTGAGTAGTGCAGCTTTAAGTTTCAGATAAATGTACAGTGTCATGGTTTCTTTTTCTTAATGTCAACAAATCAATAGAAGAAACCGAGGTGTTGCAGTCTTTTTGATATTACCACTTGGAGTTGCACTTATTTTACTAATTCTATACTTGTACAGGCAGTACAAGTAGGTCCCTATGACTAAATTCAACTAAATTGATATATTGTCTATACGATGATGAAACTTCGCTGATCTCTATTTGGTTCCTTGCAACATTAAATCTTTTTAAAACTTTGTGTCATATTTGCTGAAACTTTCATTATATCCAGACAATAGTACCATGAGTTGAGTTGAGTTTATTAGGATCCCCATTAGCTACAGCATTGCAACAGGAATACTTCATGAGGATCAAGGAATTAATGATGTAAACGAACTTGTTACTTGCCCGCCTTCCACTCCATTACAGACACATTCTCCTTGTTTATTATTCAGTAACCTTCTGCCTACCTGGTGCTCTCATGGAAACCTCCAAAGACTAGCAGCTGTTTCTTGCTGAGGACCATCCGGTGGCCGCTGCGACCTGATGGACCACCAGGCGCCCTGGAAAAACACAAAACCTGAAATCATTTCTGATTGCAGATGTCTGTAAAATGATTCAAAATAAAGCAAAAATCACCATGCTGACTGGGCTTACATTTCAGGACAGGAGGAACTAATTCAGATTTCCTCATAAATTACATTTACATTTCTGGCCACCCTTAGATCCAATCATTACTTCCACTTATCCAGCCTTCTGTTCCCCATTACATCTATTTTTATCACCCTGTGCACATACTTGATGTTCTCCCAGGTGTGTGTAGCCAGGTGCAGCACCCAAAGGTCCTTGTAGTGGTAGAACTGTTCCCCGTTTGGAGAGGCAAACTCTCCCCCAAACACCCAGAGCTGTCCCCCGCCCTGGGGAACTACCACCGCCTAAGGGGAAGGAACAGAGAGAGGGAGGAGTGAGACAGAGGGGAGGAACACATAGGAGTAGGAGAAGATGGCTCCATGAACAGAGCGAGATAAGGAGGTTTGATGTTCTCAGATTTAATTGGTTTTCTTGCAACAGGCCATCAGCAGCGATGACATTGCTGATAAGTTTCAAAGTTTCCTCTGATCTGTACTACAGTTGTCTGCCTCCTTGTGGTTTAAATGAAGAATCACATAACTGATCAAAGACCTCCAGGCAAACTGATGTTCCAATGAAACAAATGTAGCATTACCAGGCAAGGTCTATTAAATATAGCTGTAAACCTACTGTGAACACCTGCTATTTGATTAATACTAGTCACATGCTCTTTTTTTTTACTTGGAAGTGGACAGAGGAGAACGTGGTGTTTGTTGGCGGCTGGATTGTCAACAAAAAAACCACTCGATGTTTCGATGAGAGCAGAAATATTAACAGTGTGTGCAGCAAAAGAGGCTTAAGGACCCCATGGGCTTTACCTGGTGAGAGCAGCGTGGGGGAGGGGGGTTGGGGATCTCTGACTTAACCCAGCAGTTCTTTTTGATGTTGTAGAAATACAGATCGTTGTACAGGTACGTCTGCAAACAAAAGGCATTTGAATGAAGAATTAATTTAATGGGATTCATGCTGTATCGTACTAACTGAGAAAAGAAGAGCTCATGAGCTTCATATAGTTTGTACAGTGTGAACTATTGTGAAACAGTGGCGATGAACAAAAATCTAAAATTAAGAACAGTAGATTTTAAAGAAGCTTCTACTACAGCAAAATCCTCCCCAAGTGTGCATCTAAAGTAGCAAGTTCCAGAAATTGCTTATACAGAGAAGCATTTATTAGAGCAGGGGTTTTCAAACCAGGTCCTTGAGTGGGTTGTAGGGGGTCACATTTATTAGAAGTTATAATAACATGAAATAGAGTTGACTGTTGTTATTGACTATAATTTATAGTGATCAGTGATTGACCGTAAACACTTAATTATCTTAAAAATAATCAAAATAAAAAAAGACTCAAAGGGGATTCCTTAAGACAAAATCCTTTCAAACTGGGGGTCCATGACTAATGTGCATTTATTGTGGGGGTCTTTGCTGTATTATTGTTTACTACCTTCTTTCCATTGAAGAACTCTCCTCCAAACAGGATGAGTTCATCTTTCTCAGGATGGGCAGAGAGAGACGCGCTCAATCTGAAAATCATAAACAAGAAGATGGTAAACGTTATACCGGCTAAACATCTGCATTTTATCATAACAACACCATCTTACACTAATCTGTAGAACAGCCCAGCAGCAACTGCAACTTCTTTTGGAAGCTAAACTAGTATAGATAGATAGATATAGATGGATATTCCTTTATTTGTCCCACAATGGGGACATTCCAATGTTACAGCAGCAAAGTGGATAGAGAAAAAACTGTATAAAAACAGTAAGAGTGGGAATAATATAATACTAAATTAAAACACTATTGTTTAACAAGGAGAAAAAACAAGTAAGGAATCCACAACAACAGATAACACCAAATAGTAAGGCCAGCAGTTGCAAACACTGGGCAATAGATTCCTGCACAGTGAATATGGTATGGTATGTAGTAGTCATTACATTTTCTATTATTACTTGGTTTAATATCCTCCTGTCTAGGTGACTAAAATCAGGTTGTTAAGCATTTGAGCTCGGATGGAGATTCAGATCTCCAGAGACCAGCTCCACCAGGATCAGAACTGATTCTGTGTCTCATGTCTTAGACCTTTAAATCCTACTGATGATGATACATTTGTTTTGATGTATTTTCTTATGTTTTGTGATCAAGCCTGTATGTGTTCTGTGCTTCACATGGCTGTGAGATGATAAAGCTGAGTTAAGTGATGCAGTGTTTCACCTCGGTGATGGAGGTGGACATGTTGTCTCGACAACTTGGGTCTTCTTTGCGTCCAAATTCTGAAACTCAGCAATCAGAGCCTCCAAATCCTCCTGGAGACAGAGAAATAAGGACCCAGAAGAAAGTTAATGGCTTTCAGAAATGAGCTGATGCTTTGGGTCCTGGTAATGTTGCAGACAGTTGTGTTACCTTAAACACTAAATCTTTACTGAACTAAGTTCATTTTTAATACACTTGTAATAAACTATTCAGTGGACAGATTTAAGCTATATATTATTTCCACAACTCATTAAGAGTCATTTGTGTGATATGGAAAGTACAAATATGAAATCATAGAACTGTCACTTCAGGTGTTAATGTTACCTCTTCTCGTTTGGACCTCTTTGAAACCTTTTTCTCCATTTTGGCGGCAGTCTTCTCCGCTCCCTTCACCTTCTTTTCTTTCTTGCCCTTTTTCCCCATGACTGCTGTGATACACTGACAGACAGCGGTAGTCCGGAGGTTTTATCTGCTGTTTTAAATGAAGTTGGTGTCACATGAAAATCCAAACAAACTCACATGCCGAATCTCGATTCCTTTCCTCTGACAAATGTGATTTACTTCCGGCAACAAACTGGACGTATATAGCAGCGCCCTCTAGCGTGTCGGAGGATATATAGCATTTCAGGCTGCTATGTCTGAGCTGTCAATGATCTAAGCTCTTAACTTTTTGTAAACGAATTAAAAAAATGTTCCCCTTTTTTTTGCATACTCACCAACCTGTCTTTTGTTTGTTTGTTTTGTTTTGTGTTTTTCCATCTAATTGGCTCCGCTGCAAAATATGTATACCTAGGCTAAATGTAATTTATGTATATAGGTCTATAAAATGGATCTGATGTATTGGTTTCTAGACGACTGGGTCAGGAAAAGCTGTAAACCGGAGACATTAGCCCAGGTGGTCATAATGTTATGGCTGATCAGTGTATTTCAAAGCTTTACTAATGTGCCACAATAATGTAAAGTTTTTGAGCTCAAATATCTTCATTTGATTGTTTGTGATAAAATCAGCATATATTTCTGCCCCTCCTTAAAGTCTCCATGCCACCCTCTCGCAACCCCATGAATATTTTTTTTACTATTGACTGTTTCACTTTTCTTTTTTTGC